GGGAAGGGAAGGGAAGGGAAGGGAAAGAAAGCATACACAGGACCTCAAATGTGCTAAGCAAGTACTTTTACCACTGAGCTACACCCCTAATGCTTGTATTTTTAAATGGTTGGAAAAATTTAAAGAAAGAATATTTCATATACGAAAAATATATGAAATTGACATTTCAGTGTCAGATTTACTGAAATACTCTCGTTTTATTTTCATTCTCTTTGGCTGCTTTCTCAACAACGGCAGAGTTGAGTAGCTGTCAGAGACTGACTGCGTGACCCTCAAGTTCTAAAGTACATACCATATGGCCCTTTCTAGAAAAGGTTTGCTGACTATGAGCTATATTTTAAAAGTATTTAAACTCTAAACTGCCAAAAAAAAAATCACAAACACTTCTGTGAGACTGCTAACAGCTTACATGTTATTCTCAAAAGAATCTTCCCGAAACACAGCTTAAACAACGCTCCTGTCTAACCGAAAACCTTTTAGCACACCCTGCCTATGAAGTCTGAAATTCTTAACAGTTCCTATATGGTCAGGTCTCAACCTTCCACTCCAATCTCATTTCCCAAACCTCCCATTGTGGAGCTTATATCTCAGATGGCCTCAATTATTTGTTGTCCCTTTACAATCTTTGTGCCATCCCTACTATAAAATGCTCTGTCCTGAACATAGTGTCATAATGTAAAATAAGCAGAGCTTTCAAAGTCTAGGTTCTGATTCAGACTCTTGGCCTTATTAATTCAGAAGTAACTTAACTACTCTGAATTGCAATTTTCTCATCTATAGAATGGGACAAACAATCTGGTAATGTAGCTCAGTGGTTGAGAGCTTGCTTCATTATGTGTAAGGCCCTAGGTTTGATTCCCAAAACCACAAAACAGTAATAAACCTTATCTCATGAAACCATTACAAGATGTAATGTCTGTCACATGAAAACAGCTACACAAAGGACAAGTTCTATTAATTTTGCCCAACTCCAATGGTAGCCTCTCCTTTATTTTCCCCTATCCATCTTCCTTCCCATTGGGAAATGAGCACTCCCTGTAATGTCACATGCCATCACATCCTGCTGCCCTCCTTGCTCTTGGCCTCTGATTTGTATCTACTATCCTACAAAACAGTGATTTCTAGCCATGTCCTGTTTCCTTTACTAGCCTAGGACCTCCTTGAGGTCAGTATCTATCTGTGACTCACTATAGATGTCTCAACAGCCCTCTGACCAATGACAAGCATAGCTACAGGCACAAGTATTTACTCAATGAATGGCATGTGTTTGGTGCACTATATATAACGTCCACTATGTGTCCCATGTTGCCTGGGCATATAAGTGTGGGGCCGCATCACTTATTCCGAACAGTGCCTTGCCTCAGTGCTTAGCAAATATTCAAGAAACATCAAGGACTGAAACTGCCAACATAAAAATAAAGGACAGAAAATGGGCAATGTAGTTACCTTTCAGAGTGATGTTTTTATTTTCTATTAGTTTGGGTTTTTTTGTTTTTTTTTTTTTTAGTACTAGGCATTGAACCCATGGCCTTTACACTGAGCTACATCTCCAGCCCTTTAATTTTTTGAGACGGGATCTCAATAAGTCATTAAATTGTCCAAGCTGTGCTTGAAACTGTGATCCTCCTGCCTCAGCCTCTCAGAATGCTAATATTACAGGCATGCAACAGCAAACCTGGTTCCATTAATTTCAATTACAATCATCTCATGCTCCAAAAATTACAAATAGATCACATTTAAAGGGGGTGGGGAAATCAACCACTTCCTCAAGGGAGACAAGTTGAATATCATTCATAATATCAATTCTGCAGAGCTGAGTAAATGTAAATCCTCAAACGGGACCTACAGTTAATGAATTAATCACCACACACAGTTGTGACTCAAGCCTTATTTAGAGTTCTGTACAAAACCCGCACAAGCAGGATAAAATGTAGGAATCAAGTTCCACCTGCATTAACTTTGAGAAAAACTGCTGCTGATTTCTGCAGCACAGCATGCCACATCTCACTGGTTCCTAAAAACAACTATTTGATGGTCAAATTAATTTGTTAAATAAAAAGGTCTTAACCATTCCCCTGCCTTTTAACGCCAGACTACAGATTCCAAGATGGATCCATGCACAGGACTACAAAACTCATTACTGAGACATGCCAATGTAGGGGAAGACATTTTCTAACAAGATAACAGCCCAAAAAAGAGGCTCTGCTTCCAACTACTTCTGCTTATGTATTTCCTTTCTGAAATCTACTGAAAATTGTATATTCACTAACATATATTAATGACCCAAAGATGTATTACCAGCAATGTATATTTTTTAGCCATTTCCACATACAAAGAACTTTCAGAATCAATTAATTCCTTTGAGCCTTATAATAACTGTGGAGTAGATATAATTACCACCATTTTTAATTGTACAAATTTTCTGAGGTACAGTGTCCTAATTTGACAATTTGCATACAGTGTATAATACTCAAATTGGGATGTTAACATTTTCTTCTCCTTAAAAAAATTTTTGAAATGTTTTAATTACTCCCATTTTACAGATGAAATGAGTGGTGTATGTCAGATCCCAAGGTGGGGAAGCTCAGACTGTCACCCACATCGTCTAACTCCAATTCCACTGTTCTCTTTTAGTTTCACCTCCACGCAAAGAGCACACCTTTGTTTTGCAGCCACCCTACCTCTTCTCAGGAAGTGGCCCAGCTGGCAAGGAGCGAGGAAAGAGTGGGATTACTGTATAAACACTACCGTGGTCAAGACAGTGGGAAACATCCTGCCTTTGCCTTCAACTACTCAAGTATTTAGAATCTACACAACTTAAACAAAAGAAATGGAGCAGGGGTTGCTGCCAGATTTTATTTCCTACCCATTCTGTTTTTAGCTTTCTATGTATGCTCCAAACCAGAAAACTACCACAAATATCAAAGAGCCTCTGGGCCTAGAATATCTTTGGATCTTTTGCCTACATGCAAAGGTTTGGGCTTGCATGATTGCTGACTCCCTGACCCTTTTAGTCTTAGAAAAGAAAAAATAAAAACTACTACAGCAGTTGCTTGTAGCTTCCAAAGCATTTGCCCTTCCCCCAAATGTTTTACTGAACTGCATTTTTTTTGTTAGAAATTTAATCTCTCTGATATGCCTTAGCTGGTCCTGTTTTTAAGCACAAACACTTGCAGCTTACCGTCCATTTCACCAAGCCACCTTCTTCCCAGAGCACATAATGAGCTTCATTTGACAGAGGATATAGTACCAAGCAGTTTGCTAAACAACACGGCCCAAACGTTTCCCTTTCTCCCTCCTCTGAAGTCCCCTCTATTTCTGTGCCATAACCTGCATACCCTTAATGTCTCAAGGAACTCTTTTAGGTGGAGACACACCCCAAAGCCTGGCCTGTATACGTCTCTAAGGATCAGCATTTCAAATACCTCGTATCATTAAGGTGCTATCAGGAGTTTACTCTTAATCAGGCCACGGCAAGATCAACTATTAAATGATCCAACTCAGTCAAATGACCAGCAGGAACTTGAACAGGTTACAGACCCTGAGCAAAAGTGCACAATGTGTACAAGGGAAGCACAAATTCCGGGGGCGGGGAGCAAAAGACCTGCACAACAAATACAAACTGGTAACAGTTACCATTGCGCTGCAGCTCCTAAGGCTTTCTCCCTAGTCTGACTTGACTGCATCTGTCTTAAGCAAGTCTCCCCACTGAATCTAGACAGTGTTTTGGACATGAATCCACTTGAAACAAAGTTATAAGCATAAAGGACATATTCACCAGTGACCTTATTTTCCATAATTATTTTTCAGCCAAAAACAGAAAAAATTATCACTCCACTCAATCATTACCCTCTATTCTTCAGGGCATATACTTTGGCACAAAGGCTTGGCTGCCTGCATGCTCAAAGGGATATTTATTACTCCACTTTTTTACTCCAAGCCTTCCGCCAACCAGCAGAAATAAAAACTTCCACACACAGAGGGAGAGGGGAGGACAGTCTCACAGCTGCATCTGCAGTTACCACTGGAAAAGCCATTCTGGGTGAGGTTCTTTCAATGCAATAGCCATCAACCCTAGCCCTCTGTCTCTCTCCCTGAGGACTGGGCTCCTCATGCCAGGGGCTAGGCAAGTCTTTGTTCCACATTCAAGCAGAATTCAGTGCCAAGTGAAGCCAACCCATAATTCTGAGCTTGGACTGACCTTGACCTCAGCCATAGCTCAGTATGTTAAAGGAAAAAAAAAATCACTGGGACAAAGGGACTTTCCTTAGAAAATAACTGGACATGGGGAATTTTGTACTATCCCCACATTTATGTGTAGTAACCAGAGGTTGGCACAAAATCACTACTCAAGTTTCTGGTCTTAAGTCTCAATTATTTAGGAGGTGCTGGGGCAGTTCCTTGGTCCATTTAAATTTCATCTTGTCCCAGCCACGGGTCCTAAACACGTTTGATAGTCCAGGTAGACTGTCCTTTTGAACAAGCATCTACTAAGTAAGGTTAATTTCAGAGCCAGGGGGTCAGGGGCACCGCTGCAGATCATGTCTTTTAAGGTCAAAGCCATTAAAGGGAAAGGCCCAAAGTTCTGGTTGTACCCACCACTTTCTACTTCTACTAACCCACTCCTGAAGGGTCAGAAACCCATTAGCCTTGGAGACCTGGGCTGGGAGTTACTCCCAATCTTCCCTTCCCCCTGTGGTGTGGAAAGGTTGAAAGGCAAGAGCCACTGGCTCCAGAAAAACAGTTTCTGAAAGCCTTCCACTTACTTTTCATAGCGCTGATGAGCGCGTTGCCGTCTTTGATCACGTCTTTGATGAATTTATTGGTCCTCTCAAGCTCCTGCTCATAACACTTGAGCCTCTCGCGGAAATCGGGGCTGTCCAGGTAGCAGTCGCTGAACTCCAGCGGGGGATGCCCCATGTTTCTGATAGCGGGGGGTTGGGGGAGAGAGGAAAGACACAAAGGCCCAGAGCATCAGTGGCACAGCAGGGTAAATAAAGGAGGTTGACCGACAGCGGAACTCGCTTAAATTCGCTCTTAGCCTCTCTCCCTTTGGAGGACAGGTACCTGTTCCAGTGAGATTCCTGGGGAGAGCCGGCTGGTGCGGGCGAGGAACGCGCGGCCTGGTGGTGGCTTCAGGTGGCAGGGATGGCTCACTGATACAGTCCGATCCCGGCGGGATACTGCCTAGGAAGCAGCATGCCCACTAGGTATCGCCTCTTCCGATCGGCAGCAGAAACCGCAGCCCGGCTCGCCTCTGGAGACCGGCGGGATTCTTCCTGGGCTCTGGTAAACGTGACACTTGGGCCCGCCCAGGGTGTAGGCGGGGGTGAATGCTGGGGCTGGGAGCCGCCTCTCAGCGCTTCCAGCTCTGGAGCGAGCAAAAGATTTCCTCTGCTAAACTCCGCGGGCCACCCGGATTGCTCTGTCCCCTCCCTCTTCTTAAAGCCAGCGCTTCCACCCCACCCCGGCGCGGCTGGAAAACCAAGCCTGTGCCCTCGGGCTCCTTCTTCAGCTATCTTCCTTGTACCGCAGGGTTTCCTTACCAGAGCCCGCCGGCTTGCTGGGACTTCTGCCTAGTCCGAGGGAGCCGGCCTGCGGTCGGGTTAGGTGCCGGAAGGGTTAAGTCCGGGCGGTAAAGAAACGTAGCCTTCCTCCATGGACACCGAAGCGGGAAGAGGAGGGCGATGGGGCGACGCACAATAGCTGAGGTAACCGGGCGCTTCCCTACGGAAACTGGGGAGCAGTCTGCGCCCTAGGACTCCAGCTGGAAAGCGTGGCGGCCTGGGAGATGTAGTCTTTCTGTCCGCACGCCCCGTGACTCCTCCCTGCGTTCGCCCCACCGCCCCACCAGCGCAGCTGCGCTCCCAGGTCGGCCTTCCCAGCCTGCCCGGGCTCCCGAGGGGGCGGGGGCAGGTGTGCGGCGGCCCCCAGCGTGTCAGCCAAGTTTCCACAGCTGGAACAAGAACCGAGGAGGAATGGGTGACGGTGACGGGAAGCTGTCTCTCACTTCCCATTATTGGGCTGGGTTGTAGATCCTTTCTCCCTCCGCTTTCTAGCCTTTCTCCGACCTAAAGTTGGTAAACTTAGTTTCTTCTCTCCTATTTCTCCTGGCTCAAGGCGCTAATGCCCAAGGGCTTTCAGACTCCTCTAGGATCTCATTGTCCGCTCTGAACACCCTGCCAAAGGAAGGAGGCCTTCGTTAGGAATTCACTTTTCGCCTGAATAGATCCTCAGAGCATGGTTGTGAGGCTGCAACTCATTGCAAAGGCTGATGATTAAAGCATGTTTTTCCATATATAATTGGAAAAGCTGAGGAGGGGATGTCAACAGTTGTCTTGCAGTGTATCTGAGAAGCCCGTCATTATCCTCTGTAGAACCGAGGCTGATTGTAAAGGCATCGTTCTCAGTCACTACACGATATGGCAGAATGAAGGAGCCAATAAAGAAACATCCTCTGAACATTTAAGAAGTAGCGGCATCCCAAGGAGGATTTTTCCTACTTTCCCCCCACTTGCTGAGGATGGAACCCAAGGCCTCTTGCATTCTAGGAAAGGGCTCTGTCACTGAGCCACACCCCTGGCTCTATTTTCTACTTTTTTATCTTAAAGGTTAACTTATGGGAAAATGCCCAAAATGGGCTTTAAATGCATCATGAGTGGAGGAATTAGGAGGTACCAAGGAGGTACTTGGTCTTTCATTCAAGCAAATTTCCTTTTAACATTATAATGCTAAATGCTTATAATGTTTTATAAGTATCTTTGAGTAGGCGCTGTCTGCTTTGACTTACAGAGCTTATAAAATTTTCATCACTGTGAAAGTCACCATTGATATTAATTATGTGAGGTACAATCATGCTCATCTAATTTCCTGTACCACATAACTTTAAGTTATTCTTGGTCTTGACAATGAAACTAAAGCACAGAGCAACAAATGCCCTGGACTAAATACCAAAGGAAGAAACGGAGTAAAATTAGGACTCAGTGGCTCAGACAACAGTAGCTATAATTGACCACTATCCCAGATTCTTTGCATGCTTTATCCCTAACACTTACAATAACCCAAGAGACTTTTGTTTTTCATACTGAGGATTGAACCCGGGGCCTTTGTACTGAGCCATATCATGGGACTTTTTCATTTTTTTAAATTTTCAGACAGGGTCTCACTAAGTTACCCAGGCTGAGCTTGAACTTGTGATCCTCCTGTCCTAGCCTACAAAAACGTTAGGATTACAGCTGTGTGCCACCACACCCAGCAGAGTCTTCAAATTTTTATTCACATAACCTCTGAAAAGATTGTAAGAAGCTATATACTCCTTCACACATTTTGACATGGACCTCATCATGGTGAAATAGATGCAAAAGATTTAATTTCTAGCATAGTGTAAAACTGATATTTTGAAATAAAACTGGTTATCACCCTTTTAAAGATATTTAATTTGAAGCCCACTATCAAACACTCAGTAAAATAAAATGTAAACTCTATACCCTCAAAAACTTTTATTCTTCCATTTTCCTCCTTGAAATCAAATATCTTTCTTGCACCAGAATTTTATGCTATTGTAATGTGTTTCGTACTCAAAATTCTGCTATTGATTGTCATATTGAATTTCTCTGCAACAAAAATATACCCACAAGTATAAAGTAAATTATTTTTATTTCCTTGTGGCTATAAGGCTCCAAGTATAAAAATTTCTTCTGAACTGAATTATAATTGCAATATGCATACAAAATAGATAAAAATAACATGAAAATAGTATATACTGTAATTATTATTAATAAATATAGAAATGTATTGGAAATGTATCTCCTTAGGGGATGAGGAAGGGTTAAGTTACAGGGCCTTGTGTTAACATTTCTGGACGGCAGTATCTGAAAGTGTCATAGCAATTCTCCTGACCTTTGAAAGATATGCTTTCCTTCTGAGAGATTCAGGAGGGCAAGTAGGAAAGGAAAACTGAAAGTGAACCAGGCATGGTGGTGAATGCCTGTAATCCCAGCTCTCTGGGAGGCTGAGGCAGGAGGAGTGCTTGAACTACATAGCAAGACCCTGTCTCAAAAAACCAAAAAATAGAAAAAAAGAAAACTGAACATGAATTCTCAGGCAAATCATATTTTAGGAAATTCTACTAAAGGAAACTGAGGATTTGAAAATTGATTCTCATTCAGTTATGATGACCTCATAGCCCTTGCAAAATCTTTGTACCTTGCTATGGAATGAATATTAGTATCACTCCAAAATTCACATTGCTACTAGTAGAATTTAGATGAGATCTGGCGCATTCAGGACAGTATGGCTGGCAATTGACTACTGATAGCATTTAGACCGATACTTTCAGGGACAATCACATACAATTGAAGGAAAGAGCTGCTGCCCCTTCTATGGACTGTAAGGTACCCCTGTGATTACTTTTCTGTCAAATGAGACCTTCCAGAGAAATTTACAAGAAGCCAGGCAAAATTGCAGTCACCCTGCCCCACCCCTTTTAGGTGCACTAGAGTAAACTTTGCTCATTCTAATACTGAATTCTCCCCCCCCCCAGAGGCATTCCCCACAGGCCACTGTTTGATCACAAGATGGAGCCCCAGGACTTGGAACTGAGCATGCTCAAGAATGTGCCCATCTCCACAGTGATCTTTCCTGTAGTATTTCCCCACTGAAATTATTCCCGGTGCTCTCTTTACTTGCTCTAAGTAATAAACCCTTCTTCTCTTTCTTCTTCTCTCCTTTTTTCTTCATTTAGGTTCAGTATTTTTTTTTTTTTTTGGTTTTTCTCCGGTACCGGGAACCGAACTCACGACCTTGCGCTTGCCAGGCAGGCACTTTTGCCGCTGAGCTAAATCCCCAACCCCTTGGTTCAGTATTAAAGATCAGTACCAGGGCTCTCTATCACTGGGTTACATTTTCATTTTTTATTTTGTGATCGGGTCTCACTAAGTTGTCCAGGATGCCCTGGAACTTGCCATCCTCCTTCCTCAGCCTCCCAAGTAGCTGGGATTATACAACCTTATCTGTCAATTTCCAATTTAAGTGGCTCTTTTTTTGGGGGACAAGGTCTTGCGAGATAGTTTGGTCTGCTCTTAAGCTCATAGACTGGCTTCGATTTCATGGAAATTCTCCCATTCAGCTTCCCAAGTGCTGAGATTACAGGTGTGCACCACCATGCTCAGCTACACAAGTGACTCTTTTTTTAGTCTTTTATCTCCTTGTGTTTATGTTTTCCGTTGTGTTAGGTTACAAAGAGGTTGCCGTAATTAAAAGAGATACCCTTTATATAGCAGCAGTAGTGCCTACTTTGGCAGCACATATACCATTACACCATCACTAGTAAAGACTCAGGCAAAGTGACCCTGTTCTATAATCTCAATACTTTGGGAGGCTGAAGCAGGCAGGAAGATCACATGTTCAAGCCCAGCCTGGGAAACTGAGACCCCTTTTTTTATGACAAAATTTAAAAAGGCTAGGGATATAGCTCAGCATGAAAGTCCTGAGTACTATCCCCAGTACTGCAGAAAAAGAAAACCAAGAAAAGCACTAGTAAAGTGCCTGGCATATAGTATTTTTTAAATAAATGTTATTTCCCTTTCTAAGTTGCTCCCTGTGTGATTATATTTTCCTTTTTTTTTTTTTGTTCCGTACCAGGAATCGAACTCATGACCTTGCACTTGCCAGGCAGGTGCTGTGCCACTGAGCTAAATCCCCAGCCCCCCTGTGTGATTATATACAGTGTTAAATTCATTATCTCCCTCACTCATGCTCTCTCCCACATCTGAAATTAGTGTGCGGCAAATATATCTGTATCTTCAACATGAGAATAAGGAAATAGCGCTTTGGTAATTATTCCCAGTGCTCCTTACTTGCTGCAAGTAATGAACCTCTCTTTTAACCCCTACTTGGGCTTATCAGCTTTGCACTCAAGAAGAGGTGAACCCATTGCATTGTTGTAGTATGTTGAAATTCTTACCCTCAAGGTAATGGTGTTAGGTGGCAGAGCCTTTAGGACATTATTAGGTCATGGGAACAGAGTCTTCATAAATGAGATTAGTGAGTCCTTATAAAACAGGCCTGAGAAAATGTTGCTTGTCCCTTTGTTGTGTCCCTAGGTGGGTCTGGGGTCACCAGCCCACCACTGAATTTTCCCAGGCTTGTCTCTTCAACATAGAAAGAGGAGGAGTAACAAGACAGTTTAAGCAAGAGTAAAGTTTATTTACAGAAGGAAGGGAGGAGGAGATACAAAGCTACTCTGAGGAGTAGGGTGCCCCAGAGCTGAGTAACCACTGAGAATGGCCAGCAGTCCTGTATTTATGGGAGTGAGGTGACAGTCCTTCCCTCTAGGGGCAGCCCCACCCAGTTAGTTGGTCTGTCCTGTCGTTAAGGGTTTGGATTTAGTTTGGGCCCAATATTGCAAAAATTAGGGTAGACAATGTTACAAAAGTGCTGATTGCCTGGTTACATTCTCCAGACATTGCAGAGGTTATTCTGCTAATATCTAAAGGCCCATGTCCTTTTTGTGATCTAACCAGAGGGTCCCATCTTTC